TTAATTCTGTTAGCACCATTTTTGCATCTGGACAACATTTAAGTATAATATGCGATGTCTATGTATTATGTATTTTCTGATGTTGGGAAATACAATAAATGTACCTAACCAAAAACTGACTAAATTCTTATTGATTATTATACAATGAAATGTGTACTAAGATAAAATAAATCATGAGTGTTGGCATGTATATCCTTATGTGTCCATGATTTTCAATAATTTCGAGGACTGTGTTCAATGCCTTCATAAAGGCAATTGACAGTAGGCCTGTAGATATTCTATCTGACACCATTTAAAACTGCATCTACCAATATGAAATCAACATAATGTGCAATAGTGACAAGTTAATACAACAGGTATATATACAATAACATGCAACACCTCGAAACACAATCAGTCACAAACAACACCAACATCAGACTATGGAAAAGATATATCGACGACATCTTTGCCATTGTCAAGAAAGACAAAACAGAACAAATCCTACACACCATAAACAATACCACAAAGAACATTACCTTTACTAAAGACGAAGAGCACGACAAACAACTTACCTTCCTCGACATCCTACTAACCAGAACAGATGACGGTACACCAAACACACAAGTATACCGCAAAACTGCCCACACAGACCAAATACATGATTTCAACAGCAATCACCCAACACAACATAAAATAAGCAGCATTCGAAAACTTTTTAACAGGATAAACACTCATTGTAACACCGAAGAAGCCAAAAAAACAGATCGCAACTACTTATACTCCACATTTATTAAAAACAATTACCATAGAAACTTCATAAACAAAACTATAACCAAAATACAAAACAAAACACAAACCGACAAAAGCCACAAGAAACCGGACGAAACAGTAAAAATCGTCACATTACCATACATAAACGGAACATCAGAAATGACTGCCAGGCTTCTTCATCCATTTAATATTAACGTCGCCCACAAACCTACTCAAAAACTCAAATCATGTTTCATCAAACATAAAGACAAAACAACAATTCATGATACAACTGACGCGATCTACATGATACCATGTCAACACTGTTCAAAGCAATACATAGGACAAACATCAAAGAAAATCGAAACAAGACTCACAGAACACAAAACGCCATAAAACGACGAGATCCGAACTCACTACCGGCAGAACATACCCACGGAAACAACCACACATTCGAGAAACTAAAGTACTCGGACGCGCACAGACTAAACACGCACGCGAATTTAAAGAAACTTGGTACAGTAAAGACAACGACACAATACACAGACATATCGACATACCTATCATATACTCACAACTAAAGAAAAAGGACAAAAAAACTACAAACAACACCAAAATTACACTCTAATAACTTTACAAACATTTAACACCGAACATATTAACAATACACCAAAACCCATGACAACGCATTCCACCCCACTCAATCACATTAATCCACCCGCTAATTCAATTAGACGCTCTAAGCGTCTACAAGCAAAAGCACATGTAAATAGTAATTTCCTCATTCTGATGAAGGCTCGAAGCAACGAGTCGAAAGCTCAATAAAAATCATTTAAAATTCGGAGAAACTTTTATCTTTTATGTATTAAATGCCTGGATTACCAATTTTCAAACTTCAATAACATTTTACATATGTAGGTTGATTTAGTTGGACCAAATGCAACATGTTACTGGTTTTCATGTTTCCCTCATACAAATACATTGCCCCCAATAACAAGAAAGGCAGCATCTAATTACATACATAGATACACAGTATTGGCGCATTGTATCGGTATCGGTTCTATTACTTTTCATTGATTTACAGGCATTGGGCTGCTGCTTACTTGTTCTAAAATTGAAGCAGAGATCTGTCAGCTTATAGTCGGATATATTCAGCAATTCAGCTGATCTTACGCTAAACTATGGGCACGCCAAACGTTGCATACTACCCCGAACATCCGTCACTAATGAGAAGACAGTCTTCAGGGGCCGGTTGTATAAAAACGTAGTTAACTTTAACTACAGTCAACGCTAACTACCGCAGTTAAGTCCTTAAATGTAGTAACTTAACTGCTCGACTTAACTGCGTTGCACAAAACGTAGTTAGTGTGATAGTTAAGTAACTGCTTAGTTAACTTGAGTGGAAATTGCGTGGAGTGTTTACTTTAAATGACATAATGTTTAATCAATTTATGCTTTGTAATGGCGGGCAAGTGAGCAATAAAACGACTTTAAAATCACGAAAAATCTCTTGGCTTATGTAAAAATCCTAAAATATGGCAAACTATTGTCGTTTTTGCGGATGTTGATGATGCGAAAAAAATTTTATAAACGATTCACGGTTACATGGTAACCGGATTAAATTGTAGCATATACTTTGGACTTTTCTTAAGAAAATCGACCCGAATCTTCTGTGTAGTACAGTACGATGTTGATGAATGATATGCGTCTCGGCAAGAACTGCTTTCTTTTATGTACCAATTATATATAATGGACTTGGGCAAACGAAACAATGAACTCTTCTCAAATTGATTCATATTGTATTCTATGTGAAAGGATTTAAATATTTGAATGGCATTGCTTTTACAGAATTTAAAACTGAGAGATTGAGGGTGACAAAGGAAAAGATCGTTTCGTTTCTCTTTATAACAGCTGAGTAAAATGCTTGAAAGAAATGTGTTTGTACAGACATAAGTCACACATATTTGTAAAAGGTGACAGTGATGGACTTTTTTATTCTTAGAAAACATTTCTTTGAGCCATTATCGTTAGTAGCCATGTAATCCAGCAACTGTCTTTTCTCTGCTTGTGACATGTTATATTCACAGCTATACACAAAATACTTATTTGTTCTTAATTATGCCTTGCAAAAAACTGAGTTATAAAAACTATTGGGTATATTTGTTAATGAGCCTTAGCTATGAAACTTTTATTTATGCCTTCGTGATTTATTAGCCTATTTTTGTCTAAAGGTTGGGAGTTTATTTTTTTCATACTTTTTAAGTCATCAAACAGTAGCTAGAGATTTCTGCTTCTTAGAAAAATATTGGCAGGCAAGATTGCATGTACATTAAAAATAAACATTTTTACATAGAAAATATATGATGAAATATCAATAAAACCCACTAATTGACTGTCATGTATATTTTCTGCTTGTTTAATTAAACACGTGCAATGGATAATGTATATATATCAAGCAACATGGACCTTCACCATGCATGTTAATGAAATGTTTTATGTATTTAAAAAACTAACATCGTTGTATCTCAAGCAGCTGATACGCAAAAGAGTAGTCATGACTAAAAACTGTTGTAAAGCTCATGTATCTATTTGTATTATCATTGGTATATTTAGCACAACATTTATACTGTAGTACCTCTTTGTTTTAACATAATCTAGTTTATTCTCCATAGAGCAATGACTTTATATGATGCATATGATATTCCATGAATCAAAATGCAAAAGGAAAACCCGCAAATTGAATATTTCATACATCCAAGGCTATGGGATCATTGCTCGAATAACATTATGTCTTTTTTTTTGTCATGGAACGAAGTGTACGTGTTTGTAAGACAATGTCAGCGAGTTATGTGCACTAATCTTAAAGAAGTGGCTCTATCTCAATTGAGAGTCTCGCTTATGAATTGAAAGAGCTACTGGACGCAAAAGAAGACAATACACAATGCAATTGCTCTTTTGTAAAAAGGGTTTGTTACTCGGATAAGTTGTTGGCTGTTTTTCGTCAGCAAAACTTGGGATGTTTACAGCACTGACGAATGTAGTACACCGTCCATAAAGCTCTTATTCTAAAAGCCTTTGCCATGGAAGATACATATGTGATTAAAAACTCAAGGTAAAACCTTGTTGATCAACAACATCTCGCTCATAATTTTCTTTGAGAAGCTAAGCCGCCATATTCAACTGTGTTTTGAAAAGTTAACTATGCTCCATAGCATAGTTAACTGCAACTACTACAACTGCAGTTAGCGCAAACTACTTTTTATACAACCGAATTAACCGCGTGGTTAAATTTAACTACTCTTTAACAGCAAAAAGTGTAGTTAAAAAGTAGTTAAGAGCTTTATGCAACCGGCCCCAGGTAGTTCACGACTTCAGGCGTTCTTGCGCCACTATTATATTCTTTTTTTGAAATCCTTTACGAATAGAAGGACTGTAGAATATGTAGCTACTTTCATTTTTTTTCGAAGAAATATCTTTTAGCGACAAAAAATCGATCAATTCAGCACAAACAACATCGGCACAATAGAAATTCCTATTAGGCTCGCGACTTTCGTACTCGTTATGACGTCAGATTGAGCAAACATGGCGGCGAAAAAAGTTCGCATGTAAGGACGACCTTTAGAGTTGAAATTTGGCAATTTCCACTCAACGTGTCATGGTCATAAATAAATCAAAATTTTGCAATTACCTAGAAATTTCATTTAACCAAACAAAAGGCACGAAAATTTCACTTCATATTTGCACTATAAGAAAACGTTGTAAGTTTTGCGTTTGAAGTTTTTGCTCCTTTTAATAGTCAAAAGCATTTCACGCCTCGCTGAATCCCGGTTACCGAGCTCATGTGAACAGCCGCTTAGAAATTTGGTGTCGGCTTCGATTCAATTAAATAAGTGTTGAAACAATAGCTTAAAATCGAAATATTTCGTCACCAAACTAACTTTATTGCCAAAGCCATATTTTTTTTAATTTAGATATTCTCGCCCAAAACTATTATTTTGCCCACTAATGCGTTCTGTATTTATCGCCGAAGTCAATTGACCAATCAAAAAACAATTCAATAAATGTTCTATGTATGATGTTCCATAAAAAGTTCAACTGTTTTTAAAATAAGGTTGATTCTTTTCTCTTTTCAAAACTCTCAAAAATGACTTAGGCAAGAAAGTTAAAACAGGACGATTTGCGGCATATTACAACATTTATAACTAGTAATATCCGAGATAGTTAGCATAAAACAGATACTATACGATAATTTTATCTGAATTGTATACCTGTAATTCTGACCACCAATACAGTTATTCAGCCATAAGCAGTGATGGTCAAAATCACTGATGCATTTGTTACAATTAGCACAATGTTTACTTTTTTTGCTCCTAAAAAATAAAATAATCAAGTATTGAAGCAGAGGAAAAGTAGAGAAGTAATCGTTGCAGAACATCACAAATGAACAACGTGATCAAGATTTGACTGTATGGTTATTGAGTCACAGCATTGCAGGAAAAGCGAAAATGCTTCCACAATCACGTGGTCAAGCAAGCAAGCGTTAAAACCAATGCAAGTTTTAAGAGCAAAAACATACTCACACTTCAACTTGGCAAATGTAGCAGTGATAATTTTCAATCACGTGTTTATGAAGAGCTCGATCGAACTCTGCAGCTTTCTCTACCTTTTTCAGCTTCACATTAGGGTCGGCTGGGTTCACCGTAAGGCATGCCAGGTGAAATATTATATGGAAGAAAAGGCATATGCCTGGTAACTGTACGCTGCTAAGGAAAGCAGCACGAAAGACTATTGCATAGCCTCTAATATTTCATACCTATTAATGATTGTTTTTGCAGTAATTACTTTTATATTACCATCTTTATGGCAATTACTCGAAAAGTATAATACCAACATATAAAGGAAGCTAAATTAGGTTGTTGTTTATTAACCTACTAAACATACTTGTAGTAGAACGCTCACATACATCAATGCTTATTTGACAGGAGGTGTGCAGATTTTCGAAGGGGAGGAGGGGGGGGGTAACACTCCAACAGGGTTTGAAATAACGATGTTAAATTATGTCGAATTTTGTCGGCCATTTTTGTCGAAAAATTCTTTTCAAGCTACATTCATGTTATAGGCCTTCTGATAAAAGTTGCGAAAATGCACGCGACCGGAGAAAACACGAACACTTCGCAATCAGTGTACGGTTTAACATAACCAGTAGAAATACAAAGGATACAACACAGCCAGGAATCAATACGTCATGTGGTAGATGGGAAGCTAAGATTCCATAATACACCAAGGGAATACCAACCACAAAGAACCAGGCGATCACTTGAAATGGATGCAGGGGCCAAGACCAGCCATTTGTACGATCTTTTTGACGAATTGCGATTACACCACTTTCTCTGTCTGCCATCATTCTACTTCCCTGCAATAGCATTCATTTATGTAAATAAATATTGCATTAAGTGGTGGAAACTCCGTAGTGGAGATAAAGGGGAGAGAGCATAAAGATTATATATAATACTAGAGGTGGCATTGGGTAGTATCCAGTGCTGTAGAACTAAATTTATCAGATGGGGGGGCTCTCTTGACGTTTTTGTCAATAGTGCCCTCTTAAAATTATCCATTTCAAAGGTATAAGGGGGGCTCCTCCCCCAAGTGCCCCCCCCCACTTCTATAGCACAGGGGGCATCGCAATCTATAGTCGAAAATATGGTAGGCGTCTTTTTTTTTGGGGGGAGTCTTTTGTAGTAAATACTATGACAATCTAATTTTTGAACAATGCTTGCCTTATTATTGTAATTTTAGATGGGTTTAAGCCACTCGTATTTTGAAAAACATGTTTCTGTTGCTTTTATGATCATTCAGTAAATTATAAGTCCGTGAGTCATTGCTTGATAAAAAGACTTTTAATTTTCGACTTCATTTCAAAGTTCTGCTAACAGACTTCAAAAAAACATATATTTGTCATCCATACAGGAAAAATGTTAAATATGGTTAAATATGTGAATATGTGGATTGTAAAAACAAAAAAAAACACAAAAAGAATTACATAAGTTTTCATTGCTTGTAGTCAGTGGCGTCGCTTAAGAGGGGCCTGGGGGCACGTGCCCCCCTAAAAACTTGTTGTGCCCCCCAAATGCCCAACATTTTAATTTTAGAAAGGGGTCTTGAGGTCATTCGAAATCGAAACAGAAGCATATGGTATCAGTGTAACTCTTACGGAATTCGTACAACTTTATTGTAAAGTGGAAGCAATTTTATTAGTTATGCAAACTAGTTTGCGTTGCAATTACGCTTTCTCTGTTTTCAGCCGTGATGTAAAAATTTTAGTTCCTTGAAAATGCAAAAAAAAATACTTCTAGAATAACTCAAATATCTAGTGGGCAAGGAAGAATAAGTGATATTATGATGCTTATCATGAACTACGTTACACCATATCATAGAACTTGTATGAGATCGTGGAAAAGTATTCTAATAAACTCAAACTTGTAGACACAAAAATACAAAATAGCATTAACTAAGTCTAAGGCATATGAAAATACTGCTATATTCTGTGAGTATTATAATATGTAAACATTTCATTATAATCAATAATTAATATACATATCGTTAATATACGTTGAAACTATGTTGTGGTTAATATTTCAAAAAATTCCCAGTACAGAAGCAATTTTAGGGCAAATTCGCTTTGGACTTACGTGGTAAAAATGTTGAGCCCCCCCGTCAAAATTGGCTTTTAGCTCATACGAAGATTATAAACAACATGTAATCAATATAACAGCTCGCTAGAAAACAAATTTTCTTGATGCTCGTACAAAAAGCAAAAAACTTACTACAGTATAATAAAAAAGAATCAAAACTCGAAAGCAGACGGCAAAAGCATCTTTTGTTTACTTCTTGTTTAAAATAAGCGATACATCCTGGACCTGATTATTCAACCAAATTCCATGAATTGTTCTATTTATCGATTATCAACAGTGGCTTAGCCAGCCTGAAACTTTGTTAATGCTAAGTAAATTTTCATCATGCAATAAAACGTTTGAAAATTTCTTGGAAAGCCTCCCAGGTCCTTACTTTTCAACAAAATTCTATGAATTGTTATATTTATTGTTTTTCATCAATGGTTTACTGCAAATTGATAATGCTTTGTAATTTTTTCATAATTAGCATTTAAATTCATTTCTTTAGAATTCATAGTTTTTACTGAGAGTGAACACCAAAATATTTACATAACATGAACAAACTGGCAAGCTGGCTATGCCACTGGTTTTCAAACTTCAAAGGTATATTCACAGAAAATTAGGATTTGTGGAACTGATGGAGGCTGTCCTAGGGTATGTATGTCTGGCCAGTAGAGAGTGGATTAAAAAAATTAGGTTTATGAATGAGTTTCCAAGTGAAATTGCAAAAGCTCCAGGATCATTTTTCTGAACTTCATAACATTTCACTGTTTTCACATTTCAGACATCACTACAAATTGTCGACAAATTTGTAATTTTATGAAAGTTGGGGGCAACTTCCCTACCATCTCACTACCCCACTATCCCAGCACCCTACCATCCCACAATCTCACCATTTTGTCAACTATAGTCAAAGCTCTTTTAAACAGTCCCCACTTGAAACAGGTTGACCGTTAGATAATGGTTAAAACAGGAAACAAGGTATAAAATCTCGAGCTTAAACTATTGAAGAGTTTTGACATAATTTAATACTTTCCTTTCTTTTAACTACTATAGCATAAAAATCATGACAAGTTTTCAAACAAAGATTTAACTAATATATTTTATGATGCGCTGTTGTTACCATATTAAAACATTTAATAAAGTCATAGAAAAATGAAAAATAAAGTTTTGGACCTCAGAAATGGTGATTTTATCCACTTAGTAAATGTGATCCTTCAATAAGGGTCACTTAAATAGTATTTATATCATGTTATATCACTATATCATTTATATCATTTTGGGATAATGTCCTGTGACTGCTTAACAGAGATTGGACACTTAATACATGTTCTATTAAAGGTGAGCATCCGAAAATGCCAATATTTAACATACAAGTCAATAATTTTAAAAAATATTGGTTTCTAGCAATACCCCCCTGACACACAATATCAAGTGGATAGCATCATTTGGCCTTCATGCATCAGGCTCTAGAGTTATGTTTATGTGCACATGATGCATTGTCTTAATGTTTTCCTGAAAGAACTATTGGTACCTACAATTTGTCTATAAGGACTTCCTTTTAGTGACAGCAGCTTGTGGTATGATTGAAGAAATAATGCCAATAAAAGCACATTTTTATCGTAGCAAAATAAGGTATCAGACTTAAACATCACTATCAGTTACTAGTGTAATCTAAGTTTAAAAGATCTTATTAAGAATCTATAAAGTCTCGCGTCAAATATTTATACCAAATGTCTGTAAACGCATAAATGCGATTAGTTAACAAACAAGAAGCTTGATTGAGTGTTAAGACAAGGAAAACCAAACTACACACAGTCAGTCAAATAATAAAGTTTGACAAGTGTTTTAAACGATATTTTCAATTCTTACCATTCAATATTCTTTCAGAAAAAACATAGAACGAATGAGTTTCCATTTAAAGCGAGTGATTGAATTTGTCTACCACGAAATTTGATACAAAAGAATCAACGATCAATGACAAGCTTTATTTCTTGCAATGAAAGAAAGGGCATGCGCATTACAATATAAGTTTAATGTAACCATAACAACAGTCTTATTGTGATTGTGTATAATTGCCAGGGGCCTGTTGCTGAAGCCTGGATAACGTTAACCATTAAACAATAAAATTTTCAAACCTTTAAAAAAAGGTGTTTATATTTTTCGTAACCTTAGAAAAATTTTTTTATTTCAGTGATTGCTCAGCTCGAATCTTATATTTTTTTGTTTTTTAAAAATTTTTATAAAAGTTTGAAAAAACATGCTATCTTATGGATAACGCTATCCAGGCTTCGTGCAACCGTCCCGTGTATTGCTGCCGAACACAAGCGTCACAGCACACTATTCATGAGAGTTTGGCCCAGTCCGGCCAGTCGTTAGAGCGACATATATATAGCTGGGGAAATCTTGATTCAATTCTGTCTGTCTATCACTGAACCGAATTACTATAACTTATTAGTGCGTCGCGTGTGGTCAAAAACATGGCGAATTTTGGTTGTCAAAGTCAGTGGAAGCATTGAACTTTATAAAATAAACACAATGAACAAAGCACATCAACTCAACCAATCAAATTAATCTAAACAATCAATCAGTCAAAGAGAATTTGAAAATCGATCATGAATACATTTTAGAGCAAAATTCAAATGTTTGTTTTTCTCCCATTGTTCTTTTATAAAAGAAATAAAAAGATGTTTTTCGTGTTTGCACTGGCTTTGTGAGAACTCTTGAGGATGTGCAACCCTCGACCTTCGGTCTCGAGCTTGCTCTCGAGTTCTACCAAAGGTCTCCTCCGTTTGCATAAGCCCGTGCAAACACAGGGAACATCTTTTATTTCTTAAATAATAGATGGAAGTAATTTTTTGAGGACAAATTTGACCTCAAGACACGTGTATCACACGCGCGAAGCTGCACGTTACACGAGATTTGTTAAAGAAACATGTTTTTACCGAAGACTTTTCTGATTTCGCTCAAAGAATAAACGTAGAAAAATATGTGGCATTAGGGTGGTGGGGCTTGATCTTTATTCAGTCAATTATGATGCTTTCTACCAGTAGCGTAGTGGTGCAATTTTTGACTGCGGGGCCAAAGCAAGTTTCGCGCTTCACCTTTGAACTAACGAAGTTTGAAGTACATGCCGCAGTATTATTGAGTCTCGATACTTTATATTATCCTTTGCATTTTGATTACACTCTACCGATGACTGCGCTACCACTAGAAAATTAAAAGTAGGTAGCGTAAATGACTAATATTTAATTAACTACATGAGAAATCACTAGAGAAGTCTGACGGTCATTTTTTTGTAATGATAACAAAAATATTATAGATCATTTATCAACAAAAATGATAATTTTGTCTCCAAATACCACAAACTAAAAGTCCGTCTTATTAGTTTATTAGCTCGTGCTCCATGGACGACTGACTTACATAATTGAAACAAGTCGGACGTCTGTTTGAGTGACAGGATTCAGTCAATGACTCAATAGACCTGCTAAGTAGGCTAGCCACTATAACAAGAGTAGCGACGTTCTCAAGAAATCTCAAAAATTTTAACAAAAAATTAATTTTTTCCCCGCTTTAATAGAAAATCTTTTCAACAGAATTTTATACAATTATCTTTCTATTTTTAATCCTACGGGAGGTCTTGAATTGTTTATGATTGATGTTAATTCTTTATACTAACTTTTAGTATACCTGTATGAAATTTTGAGGTGTTTCTTTCAACTATTGCCAGTAAAATTTTACGAATTTCCTTAATTTTATACTTTCGAATACTTTCCGTAACGCATCATCGTCATGTAGTCGTGTCAATTCGTGAATTGCCGTCCTAGCACCTGGACATCTGGACATTTTTTAGTATAGCATTGTCGTTAGCCTGTGAGCAGCATTGAGTTCTATAATAACTGGAGGGGAAACGTCAACAAAATTAGTATAAATTATTAGCGCGCGGCCGCGTGGTCAAAAACATGGCGGATTTTGGTGGCCAAAGTCAAGGAGAGACGCGGGCTCATGAAATAAAATTTTGTCGCCCACCCTGGTTTACCACCACGATTGCGAGTATAGAAACATCAAAACTATTTATTTTCCTAACATAAACACTTTTTAAACTTTATTTATTAAACTGCCAACTTCTGTGGTTTGCGGATGCTGAAATAGCGACAGAAAGGAACATTTCTTGACTCCGTAGTAGCACAGTATTAGTTTTACTATTTTGTTTTTAACACGATACTTGAAGAGTGTTTCTACTACTAAGTTTAATTTAAAGTTATTTTGGTCCAGTCTTGTTTGTTCTTCACTTAATCGCTCGCCAGACGTGGCAAAGCTATCAATTTTATCGAGTTTGCATCCATCTTGTATCATGATCAAGGCATCAAGCTAAACTCTCCTGATTTGAATTGAGTTTACCTCCCAAAATGGGGCATAATTTGTTCATGTTTTTGAAAGATGAAGGAAAGTTTACAACAGAGTTGTGTTGAAATTGAATGCAGTGCCATGCAAAATTAATGAAGAACTATGGTATATGTTGTATAATAAAATAACTATTAAACTGTTTGCCTGCTCAATTTGACTGACTGTATAGTGTAGACAATTATAATGGGATTGGAAAGTTGGATTTATGCAAACAATTTTAAAATTACTAAATGAAGTATTTATTGTTATAGTAAACAGGTTACTACTTCAAAACCAAGATAAAGTAGTGTGTTGAACAATGTGCTAAGATTTGTTTCTACCTTGAAATTTTTGTTCAACAGTAGCTTATGATTATATCATTAATATGCATGAAAAATTAAACATATTATTATCTCATCTCATTAAATCCATACTTGGTATGATTCCAGGTGATCCACAAATTCACATCGGATGCATTGGTTACAATTCAGTTGAATGTAGAAGAAGCAAAAATAGATGGCAAAGAAATTCTTTGTGTCTTATGAAGAATTAGTAGAAATCAATAAAAAGAATTTTTTAAACAAATTGTAAACAAATTTAAATTTGCTCATGGTCAAGCAACCTAGTCAAAGAAGCAAAGTCTGTCTTCAACATGTGACCTTTCCAATGATTTAGTTTCTTTGTACAAAATACTATTTTCGAAACTTGATTTGTAAGTCTTTCATTAATATTTTTTACCAAGAGATAAAGGGAACTAATTCAAGGCTTGATAAAATACAAAGATTTAACAAGTTGTTTATCATTTAATTCCCAAATGTTAGTTTGTACATATAAATAATTAATATTGGTAGCTGTAAGTTGTTTAAGCAAAACAGAAGAGTAGTAGTGCTCGAAGGGGTTAGCATTTTTGAAAAATTATATCTTGTTCATGACATATATTACACAATTCCAAAAAACTGTAAGTAATGCACGATAATATCTATAAAACTTGATAAATTTCTTCAGCTACACTGTCAAATAACTATTTTGCCTTCATGCAGCAATAGACAGTGTTTTTGTCAGAGAAACAAATGCACTTTAGTTTCCAAGTTTGTAATTTCAATGGAAAATTAATGTAGTTCTGTTCAGTAATAGATCCAAGATTCTGCCAAGCTGTTTACAAAATACAAATTACCAAGCAACAGTGTCATGGTGTTTTGAATTTTTTCTCATATTGTAGCTCTTCTAGTTCAACATACTTTCTTTATGAGTTTTCAGTAGATTATCAGGTAATGACAATACACTTATGATACTTATCCATGGTAAATTTTCAGTTGACTTATGTCGCAGGCTGAAACAAACATTTTCTCGTTCCTTAGGAGCATTTTACACAGATTTATCCATTTGAATCAAAAAAGAGTGCACCAAACTGTTTACAAACAGTCAAACACACAAAAGCATGAAATAATGTGTACGTTTGACGAGATTGACAGGTCTAGTAAAGATTGCAGTTTGATTTTCACTTTTAAAAGGTTAAAATGTCATAAAATAACTTAAATGTTACAGCCAAAATATTCGTTCTCTACCGTCGATTTTCTTTATTTTGATGTGTGTTGTACTGTGTTTTCACGCAATGCTGAAGCATTATTTTCACATGATATGCTGTCGGTATCGTAATTGTTTTTTCTCACTTGTTTCGTTCAACATAAACAGTATTAGAAATCAGGAGGAGTGAATATTGAAAAATTTTTTAAAGTGGAAGTTTGACCACCAAAATCCGCCATTACCGCCATGTTTTTGACCACGGGGTCCAGGCATTTGAGCTCTATAGGACCTGGAGAGGCAAGGGCCTGGGCCCGTGGTCATGTGGCAATGGCGGATTTTGATGATCAAACTTCCACCTTAAACATTTTTTCATATTCACTCTCTCCTATTTCCAATACTAGTGAACGAAACAAGTGAGAAAAAAACAATTACGATACCGACGGCATATCATGTGAAATGATGCTTCAGCATTTAAATGGCTGTTTTACACATCAATGCAAAAGAAAATCGACAGTGAAGAGCGAATATTTGGCACTTGACATTAAGTTATTTTATGACATTTAACCTTTAAAGGAAGTAATCAAACGGCAATCTTTACTAGACCTGTCATCTCGTCAAACATACATTATTTCATAGCTGTAATGTTTGACTTTCAGTATGTGATTTGTGCACCTATTTCTTTGCTTCAAAATGGATAAATCAATATTAAATGCTCCAGAAACGAGAAAATGTTCTTCGGCCACGACAAGTCGGCTGAAAATTAACCTGAATAAGTATCAAAGAATGTATTGTCGTACCTGATAAATCTACTGAGAACTAATAAAAGAAAGCTATGTTGAGCAAACAACTGAAAAATTAAAGGCATATTGTTGCAATGTTTATTTTGGCAACAGCAGAATCTTGGATCTATTACTGAACAGAACTACGATGGTACTACATTGATGCAAACTTGAAACTAAAAGTGCATTGATTTCTCTGCAAAAGCACTGTCGTTGCTGCATGAAGGCAAAATAGTTATTTGACAGTGTAGTGAAGAAATTTATCGAAATTCTATAGATATTGTTGTGCATTACTTACAGTTTTTAATTATGTA